CAAGCAAATTTGACAACTTTTGTTATGAAGTTTCTCAGTGGAACAGCAATGGATTTTAACTTGAATAACACTTGCGGTGTTCCCTCTTGCCCAGAGGAAAAGTACCTTAATGAAACTTGTCCAGGATGTGCAAGATATGGAAAAACAAAACAAAACAAAACAAAAAACTACCTACACTATAAAAATCTTTTGATCTGCATGGGGTAAAGTCACTGAAATAACAACTATGTCAAGAAAATATAGAAATGATTTTAAACAATACGTTAACCACTGATTAGTAGGTACAAAAAATGCAAGTCTTTTTTGGAAACCATGTTTTCATTGTAAAAACAGTGTACAGATGATAATGAAAATACGGTAAATAAAAGAAAGCAAATACTTACACATCTCTAATTATACATGCATATCATTCAACAAACTCCTGAAGTGTCATTGGATTAATTATTATTGCTATATTTGCATCTTTTCAATACAATTTAAATCAGATGTTTAACACCCATATTTTAAATATCACAATATCACTTAAATTGAATGAATGTTGCTTATGTTCTTAGCCATTCATGTCAATACATATATACATAGTTTTCCATTCATATAATTTACTGATAAGATGAAATATATTTTTAATTAATTTTTTTATTGGAGAGATATTTTTTTACAACATATATTCTGATTATGGTGTCCCCTCCCTTTACTCCTACAATTCCTCTGTACATTTACTCCACTCTAGATCCACCCATCTCTGTCTTTCCTTGGAAAACAAACAGGCTTCTAACTGATTATAATATAATAATAATAATAATAATAAATAGTATAATATATAATATAGTATTATATATTACATAATATATAATATAATTATAAAAGAAACAAAAAACAAATCAATGTGAAAAACAAATAGAAGGAAATGAGCCCAAACAAAGGCACAAGAAACTGCTATAGTTACAGAGATACATTTGTGTACACATTCAGAAATCTTACAAAAACAAAAAACTGAAGGCTATAATATACATTCAAAATCTGTAAAGTAAATAAAGTTTTTTAAAGCATTGAAAAAAAATCCTTGATATTACACTGTGGAACAAGGAATCTCTAACGTTACTCTTTAGTTCTTTTTCTGTTGGCCACCTACTTTATAAACCATTTGTTTCCCCAGTGAGACTCCCTTAGAGAAAGTTAATTTTTTATTTGCAGGTGGTTATCAATTTAAGATAGCATCTGATTTAGAGATGGGGGTATGTATAGCCTTCTCCTTTTAGTTGTAAGATCCCATCTTGTGCAAACTCTATACAGGGCCTGTCCAGGGTACTTCACTCTCTGTAAACTATTATGTGTGTTCCTCCTAAAGTATTTAGGTATGGGCATTTACTATCCCCTCTGGCTCTTGCATTCTTTCTGCTTCTTCTTCTTCAGGGTTCCTGGTGGAGGGATTTGATAAACAAATTTCTTTTAGGACTGAGTTATTGCATGGTCTTACTCTCTACATATTACTTGTCTGTAGGTCTCTATATTTTTTCCCATCTACGTGAGAAAGAAGCTTCTTTGATGTGGACTGAGAAAACATTGACCTGTGAGTATAGCAGAATGTTAGTAGTTATATTATATTTTAATTAATTATATTTAATTATATTTTAATTAAACAGTAGTCTTTGGTTTTCCCCCTAGGTCTCTGGACTATCTAGTATTAGGTTCTTGATCTCCTAAACAGTGTCAGGAATGGGTTCCATCTCATGAAATGGACATGAATCAAACCAGATATTTGATTTGATTCACAATTGCTATAGCATAACTTTCAGGCAGAGTATCATTATAGATAGAAGCATTTGTAGCTGGGTGTTTACATTTATCCTTTAGTACTATGCAGAGTGCCTTCTGATATCAGCCAATAATGTTCAAGGCTCAGCAAAGGTACAAGCTCCATTTTTTTCATGTCCGGTGAGTTGTGTAAGGGTTATTGTCAGTAATAGGAACTTGCTATCAGGGAAAGGCTATCTATACCCTTTGCAAGAATCTGGGTTATTTTGAAGTTGTCATGGGACTCTTTTGGCCAAAAACTGAATCAGATGTAATCCATTTCTGGTGCTGAATCCTCATTTGGTGATGAATGATGTCTAGTTTGGGGGTCTATCTCCCATTATTTAGTTTAGGTGGATTTTACATAATTATATAATTTAGGAAGATTCTACTGTATTAAGCTTACACACAATACCTCAAATGGCCCTTAATTTTAGATGTTACTCTTCATATTACCACTCTTGCCCCCTTTCCCCTCCTGATATAATGCCCATTTGATCCTCCTTTCCCAGTTCCCTGCCTTTATCTGCCTATAAGCTGTCTTTTCTATTTCTCCTTCCTAGGTAGATCTATCCCTCTGCTGCCTAGTCCCTTACACTATACCTAACCTCTGGGGTTCTAAGTTTTGTAGCTTGCTTATTTTTGACTGCACAGCTAAAATTATATATATACATACATATGTATATACATATACACATCATGTATATAGTCTACATTCCTTTATTCATTGAAAACTATTTTTGTTTATTTATTTATTTATTATTTATTATAATTTATTCACTTTGTATTTCAGCTGTGGCTTCCTCCCTCATTTTCTCCCAATCCCTCCCTCCCTCTTTTCCTCCTATGCTCCTCCCCTAGTCCACTGATAGAGGAGGTCCTCCTCCACTTCTATCTGATCCATATATTAGAAAATACAATATTTTCTTGGTCTGAGTTAACCTCACTTAGGGTAAAATTTTTCTAGTTTTAGCCCTTGACCTGTGAATTACTTGATTTCATTCTTTTCAAAGGCTTAGTGATATTCCATTGTGTAAATGTTCCACATTTTATTGATTCATCTATGTTTTTTTCCAGTTTCTAAGTCTGATGAATAGAACAGCAATAATATGGTTGATCAAATGTCTTTGTTGTAAGATGAAGTATCATTTTGATATAGACACGCCCAATAGTAATATAGCTGGGGTTAGATTGATTTCCATCTTTCTGAGGAACTGCTACACTGATTTTCATAGTAGCTGCAGGAATTTGCACTCTCATCATTAGTGTATGAATGTTCTCCTTACTCCACACTCTCTCCAGTGTGAGCTGCAATTTGTTCCATTGATCCTGACCATTCTGACTGGAGTGAGATGAGATCTGAGAGCAGTTTGGATTTGCATTTCTCGGATGAAGAGGGGTGCTGAATTTTTTTTCCTAAGTGCTTTTCAGCTATTTTACTTTTATCTTTTGAGAATTACTGTTTATATAGTCTTTAACTGGGGTTACTTGTTTCTTGAAGTTCAGATGCATAATTGGTAACTCTTTTCCAATTCTGTCAGCTTTCAGTTCATCCTAATGATGTTGTCCTTTGACATGCAGAAGTGGTTCAGTTTCATTAGGTCCCATGTTAGTGCCATGTCATGGAGATCCTGCAGTTTTGGATCTGTAGGATTAGCCCTTTCATGCACTTCAGCAGTATATTGATGGGGTAGATGTGGGGTTAGGCTAATTCAAACTCCAGATCTGGACCTGAAAGGTACCTGAGCTGGTCTGCCCACCAGATGTCCCACACCCACACCACCAGACTTGGGGCTGGCTCATCTGTGCCCATGCCATCAGGGCCAGCTCTTCTGTGCTGCCCAACGGAGGTGCAGGGAACACTCTCCTGAATGCTGCAGAAGGTGAGGGGCTGGGATGGCTCTCACATTCTCTTACCATCTGGGCCATCTTACTTGTCACACCTGCAACCTGGACCTGCTCTACTCTCCTTCCCAGGTAATGTACAGGGCCCACTCTTCCAAGTGTCATGATATACCACACAGCAGACAAGACTCAGGGTCAGCTTTTCCATGCTCATGTCCTTGGAGCCAGCTCACCTGTATTCCCCACATCCCGGGCCAGCTCTATTGTGCTATCCAGGCGAGGTGCAGGGATGATTCGCCAAGTGCTGCAACAACTGAGGGACAGGGACAGCTCTCTTGTTCTCTTGACTCCAGAGCCAGCTTTCTAACCTGCCATGAGTGGCAAGGGGACAGGAAAGGTAGGTATCTCCACCTAGCACATGCCACTACATGGCACACAAGTAGCAAGGCCAGCTCAAGGTGGCCACCAGGGTCAGCTTTACTGTACTGCTCAGGCCACGTGCTGGGCCTGCTGTCTTGAGTGCTGCAGCAGTTGATGGGTAGGGACAGCTCTCCTGCTTTCATGATCCCAGGGCCAGTACTTCCCTGATGCTCAGGTGAGGGGTGGGGCTGGTTCTACACAGCCCTCAGACATCAACATTCCCTGTGTGGCAGCCCAGACCAGGGACACCAGATAGTCTTTGTTGGTAATAGACCCCTGCTGCTGCAGGGCCACAGACACAGACATGACCCCTGGTGGCAGCACAGGCCAGGACCCCGTTATGGTCTCTGATGGTATCACCAGTTACACACATCAGGCTGTTTCTCACTCTCAAGTCTCCAAATCTGCCTCTCTTCACTGTACCCACATCCTTCTGTTTCTCTTCCATTTCTCTACCCCTTGTTCCTCTTATTGGCACTTGGGGTCTCTGAGAGTCTGGAATCATCTCAAGTTGTTTCAGGAGTGCTATGCCATGCCCATGCATTATGGCATCAGGCAGGGATCATATTGGGCATGGTTTGACACACTCACCAAGGCCTACATTACTTTTTACTGGTGGTCATCTCAGGCTAGAACCCTGTCCAGGCACCATGGCTTCAGACTGGTCTTGGGCTAGCTCCTTGCTGGGGCCAGCTTCCAGAGCCCCATGTCGTGAAGGGGTGGGTAGGATGGGGATGGAGCTGGAGATGGGGTAGTCATCTGTGTCTGGCTCACTCATTCCCAGGGCTCAGGTCTTAGGCAGGATTCTTGTCAGGCTCCCCACCCAGAGAGCCTGTCCGAATCTTGCTAGACTAGTGGTTATCACAGGACAGCTCTCTGTCCAGGCCCTCTGGTGCCAGATTGGCGGTTGTCTCAAGCTCACTTTTTTTCTTTTTTTCTGGAAAGTTTAGGCTACTGATCATTCAAATATTCCCAGGTCAGAACAGTGAGTACAGACACAGCCCCTCTCCTCTCTGTGACCTACTGACACACGTGACACAGCAGTCACACCTGTAATGCCTCTAGGAACAGGAACACACAATATTTTATATTTTTGAGGTGATTGTTTCCCTGATTTTCTTCTCAGCATATTTGTCATTTGCATATAAGGAGGCCGTTGACTTTTATGAGTTAGTTTTGTATCCTGCTACTATGTTGAAAGTGTTTATCAGACATAGGAATTTTCTAGTGAACTGTTTAGGGTCACTATCATATTATCTTAGAATAGAGACAATTTTGACTTCTTTCCTTCCAAATTGTATCCCCTTGATTGCCTTCATTGGTTTTATTGCTGTATCTAAGACTACAAGTACAATATTGAATTAGTATAGAGAGTTTGGAAAACGTTGTCTTGTTCCAGATTTTAGTGGAACTGCTTTGAGTTTCTCTTCCTTATATTGATATTGGCAGTGGGATTGTTGTAAACTGCTTTTATTAGGTTAAGCTACATCCCTTGTATTCATTTATCTCTAAGACTTTTATTGCAAAGGGGTGCTAAATTTTTCTGAATCTAATTAAATTATTATTTTTTTTTCCTGGCAGTTTGTTTAAACGTAACCCCATTTATTGATTTATGTATGTTGAATTTTCTTTGCATCTCTGAGGGGAAGCCAACTTGATGATATAAAATTGTCCAATATGAACTGTTCTTGGATTTGAAGTGCATTATGAAGGTATTTTTGCAACTGTAGTCATAAAGGATGCAGTTTTGGTCTGTAACTTTTCTTCTTGGGAGGTTATGTGATTTAATTATCTTGGTAATTATGGTTCATAAAGTGAATTAGGTGGTATTTCTTTTGTTTCTGTTATGTGGAATAATTTGAAGGGTATTGACATTAACTTGTCTTTGGAAGTCCGGGAGAATTCTGTACTAAAATCATCTGTCCCTGGGTGTTTTTGGTTGGGAGACTTTTAATGAGTCTTTCTATTTTACTAGAGGTTATAGGTCTGCTTAAGCTACTTATCTGATTCTTACTTAAATTTGAAGGGTGGTATGCAAAAAATAATTATCTGTTTCTGTTAGATTTTCCAATTTGTTGGAAGACAGGTTTTATAAATTTGTCCTTAAGATTCTGGAAATTTCTTCAGTGTCAGTTGTTATGTCATTCTTTTCATCTCTAATTTTGTTAATTTGGATCTCAGTTGATTTGACTAATGGTTTGTCAATCTTATTGATTTTTCTCACAGAACCAACTTTTTGTTTCATTGATTCTTTGTGTTGTTTGTTTCTATTTTATTGATTTCACCCTTCATTTTGACTATTTCTTTCCATCTACTCCTTTTAGGTGTGATTTTGTTCTTGTTCTAGAGCATTCATGTGTACTGTTAAACAGAAGCTAGTATGAGCTTTCTCTAATTTTTTATGTAGGTGCTTGGTGCTATGAATTTGTCTTAGAACTTCTTCCACAATGACCTATAAGTTTGGGTTTGTTGTATATCCATTTTCACTTAATTCTAGAAAGTTTTTAAGTTATTTCTTAATTTCTGTCTTGATCCATTTTTCATTCAATATTGAGTTGTTCAGTTTCTATAAGTTTGTGAGGTTTTTTTGTTGTTTGTGTTGTTGTTAATAGCATACTTTAATCTATAGTGGTCAGTTGGGATACAGGATGTTATTTCATTTTCTTCTATCTGTTGATTATTGTGTTGTGTCAGAGAGTGGTCAGTTTTGGAAAAAGTTCCATGAAGTACTGAAAAGAAGATAGTCTTTTGCTTTGAGGTGAAATATTTTGTTAATATCTCTTACGTCTATTTGGTTTATAATATTAGATATATTCAGTATCTCATTGTTTTTGTCTGGATGATCTGTCTATTGGTAAATGTGGAGTACTGAAATCACCCACTATCAGTGTGTAAAGGTCAATGTGTGATTTAAGCTCTAGTTGTGATTCTTCTATAAATTTGTGTTTGGTGCAAAACTGTTAATTTCAATGTCATTTGGGAGCATTTTCCTCTGGTGAATATTCAGGGTCTTCTGTAGCTCTGTTAATTAGTTTTTTTGAAGGTCTATTTGTATCAGATATTAAAATGCCCACATCAACCTTCTTCTGAAGCTCATTTGCTTAGACTCTCCTTTTCCACTTTTGACGAGAACTGATAGACTAAGATCAGAAAGGAGAGGAGAACCTCCCCTATCAGTGGACTTGGGGAGGAGCATGCATGCAGTAATGGGAGGGAGGGTGGGATTGGGAGGGGAGGAGGGAGGGGCTTATGGGGGGTACAAAATGAATAAAGTGTAATTAATAAAAAAATATTTTGCAAAAAAAAAAAGAATATCCTTTTCCACACTTTTATCCTGAGGTGATTTCTTTCTTTAATGTATTTCTTGCATGCAACAGAAGATGGATCCTATTTTTGCATTTAATCTGTTTGTCTGTGTTTTTCTTGAGGGGGGTATTGAAACCATCAATGTTAAGATTTATCAATGAGCAGTATTTATTGACACCTGATATGTTGTGCTTGTGGTGTGTTTTTTCTTCTCTTTTGTTCACTGGCCTGGGATTATTTCTTGTGTTTTCTTCAAGTTGAAATTTTTTCTTCTATATCTTTCTGTAGGGCTGGATTTGTAGACAGATACTATTTTAATCTTTTGTCAAAATTTATGATTTTTTTATTTCTCTCTCTCTTTATATATATATATATATATATATATATATATATATATATATATATA